TATCTTGAAGTCCTTAAGTCCTATATAAGGGGTATCTTGAAGTCCTTAAGTCCTATATAAGGGGGATGTCTTGAGGTCCTGAAGTCCTATATTGCAAGGTGACTTTTAGGTCCTCAAGTTCTATATTATGAGGCTACCTTTAGGTTCTCAACGGCTATTTCCTTGGTTGTAGTCAGTGTCTTAATCCAGAAAGTAACTGTGTGCTTGTGTGCTTGTCCGCAGAGTGGTAGTTCGAATCTACAGTGAAGTGACCCAGTCAATCGCATTGATCCACGGCACTTGTATATAAATGATTATAGAAAAGGCATTCCACTATTTTTTCATGGGAAAAACACCTCCACGTTAATTGGTTCATAAAATTATGAATACCGCTGCCAGCACTTTTTGTCAGTCCAAATATTATATAGAGCTGCCAACAGGTGCTGAAGGGCAGGCTCCGCGATTGATTTTGAGAGTGGGGTAGGTAGGGGTACAAATTTGCGGAAACTCCGACACCTGCAGCGCAGAAAGTCAGTGTTGTTTCTGTTCCATTTGCTGCGGAAAATCAGTGTTATCTTTGCCATTTCCCTGTTGGGATTCCGAAGTTTAGGAGAAGATGCAATACAAATACGATCGGGTTTATGCGAGAAATACAGAAGAGAAGACTGCATTTTCTGCGAGATAATTGACCTAAATAGCCTGAACGTTCGGGAAGAATTTGACAGAGACCATGCCCCTTTGGTTTGATTAGAGCAACTTGATGTCTTTTCTACTTTAGTGTAGTAATCGGTTTCCCAGAAAGTATTATCAATGCTTTTGGCAGAAAATCTGAAGTTGGTTGCGTGCAAGCTCTCCCAGCCACCAAATCGGGTACCAGCCTCAAACCGTATAGTAAGCGGCACACATACATCCTCAAGGCAAACTCTACTGGGATCCGGTTTGCTATATGCTATGGGCAGCTATGGCCATCCTTTACGAGAGAGGCCGTAAAGACTTTTGGTTGTCCCTCTCATACAGACGTGCGGGACCTATGGGTGCCCCTATATAATACCGCTTGATATTTTGTGAGTACCGCTGTAGTATAGGCTTTCAGGACCTATCTGCACTTCTGTATAATAGCCCTTGGGGACTTTTCGGTACCTCTGTATAACAGACCTTCTGAACCTAAGGGTACCCCCATTATATAGGACTTGAGCACCTAGAGGTACCCTCATAAGATAGAACTTGAGGACTTAAGGGTACCCCTTTATATAGGACTTGAGGACCTAAAGGTACCCCTACAATATAGGACTTGAGGACCTAAGGCGAAGGGTACCGTCATAATAGCACTACATAGAGCCGAACTACTGTCCTGCGGACAAACACGCAAACGCACAGTCAATTTCGGAATTAAGACCTTGGTGACAGTCAAGGGACTAATACTAACAACTTCATACAAGATTGGAGTCATATGCAGTCACACGGAGTCAAGTGGAGTCAAGTGGAATCAAGTGAAGTGAAGTGGAGTCATGGAGTCGTGGAGTCAGCTGTTTCTCCCTTGGAATCGCCTCACATCAACACCCACCCACACACACTCCCACTTCCATACACCCACACGCACACACTCACACCAAGACACCCACACCCACACCCACACTCACGTCCACGCTCACATATAGAAGACAGCTTATTTGCAGCTCCTTGTCTTAATAGTTTTCCAGGTCTCAGTGATCACTAGTGATACTGAAAAAATGACTGCGATTCTAAATCGAATAGTGGAGAATGAAGGTACACATGGTTCACTGTAAGGCTTCTTTCTCTATATTGGGGATGGTATGAACTAGATAACATATAGAACACAGCGTATTTTCAGGTCTTTGTCTTAACAGTTTTGCAGGTCTCAATGATCACTAGTGATGCTGAAAAAATGGCTGCGATTCTAAATCGAACAGTGGAGAACAATGGTGCACATGGTTCACTATAAGGTATCTTTCTCTATATTGGAGATGGTCTGTGCTAGACAACGTATAGAAGACAGCTTATTTGCAAGTCCTTGTCTTGGCAGTTTTGCAAATCTCAGTGATTACTAGTGATGCTGAAAATATGGGTGCGATTCTAAATCATATAGTGAAGAACAATGGTACACATGGCTCACTATATGGTACCTTTCTCTATATTGGGGATGGTCTGTGCTAGGCAACATATAGAAGACAGCTTATTGGCAAATCCTTGCCTTGATAGTTTTGCAGATGTTAGTGATCACTAGTGATGTTGAAAAAATGGCTGCGGTTGTAAATCAAATAGTGGAAAACGAAGGTACACAATGTTTTAGCGTACCCTACAATGAACATAAAAAAGTGTGTAGTCGTGCTTTTTTTTTTGAAAAACTTGAATCAGCGAGCCATTGTTTTTCTCAGATATTTTTACAGCAGAAGATGCAGTTTTTCGTGGGCTATCTTCTGGTGTCATAAAATTTATGAGGAAGCTCCATTTTTATGTCGAAAGGATCGAAATACTATGAAAAATTGAAATATTTTTTTGGTAAAAAATACTTTGTTGGCTCTTGTTTGTTCACATAATAATGTTTGTGGAGAGTCCGAAAAGACATGGCCTGATAGAAAAAATAATGCTCTTTCTTTTTGCAAGGGTCATTACTATGTTAATGCTCGAAATAGTGGAGTATTTTTGTACCACATTAAGAGTACAAAAAATGACAATTTTTTCCCTGGGTCTGTTACTCCTGTTATCGAAGTGTACTTCAGAACTGAGCGATGGATGGTCAGATCAAGCTAATATTTTGGATTTAGTACTAACTCTAAAAGGCCTTTCGTTTCAGAAGATCAAATCCAAAATCAAAATTTTCGCCCCGGCCAAGTCCCTTTTTTTGCCTGGTTTTCTGGCGGACCCTCTCTTAAAAGTTCGGTTCGCTCCAATGAGCTGTTCGAACAGTTCAGCTCATGTGAAACGAACTGTTTGAAAACGGTTCAGTTCGCTCAGAAGAGCTGTTCGAGCAGTTCTCTCGCTCATTTGAAGGGAGTTCGTGAGCTGAGCTTGTGTACCCCCACCCAAACCCACCCACACCCCACATCCACACCCTTCCACCTGTATTCGGAATTAACAAAAATGTTCGTGCGATATTGTGAGTTAGATCGCATATTTCAAGATTAAAATAAGGACCATGAATAAGGAAATAAAAGTCTAATGCAGTTATTGACCACGTTTGATTTGAACCACTATTGAACTTGATTTTGTTTTCTTGTTCTTGTCTTTGCAAGTTGTTTCTTATTGTCTTCTACTTTCTTTTCGCGAACGATGATAGATATAAGCACCGGCGGCAAGTGAACCCGCTACAACTACTCCAGCTCCAATGCCAATTGCGGTCGCTACACCGTCTTCTACCTAGAACGATAGGAATACTGTTTTTCTTTCTAACTTTGCATTGAAAGAATTTACTTGGCGAGACTTTTCTTGACCATAACGACATTGAGTGGCAAAATGCTCGCAGTTTTTGCTTGTTAAACTGTAACCGCCTTCACCGAGATGACTATGTGCTCTCTCAAGAATTTCCTCCTCCGGTGATGGCCTAAAACAAAAAAGGCATTTATATTACATAATATACATTTTTTCTCTTTTCTTTCCAAGTAATACTTTTTACATTTTTCTTCATTAGAAAGCTCTCCGACTAGAAGTATTATTTTGATATTTTCTTTTCACTCATTTAGTGTTACGACACAACGTTGCAGTAAATAGAACCACAATGTTGTTCATTGATTCTTTGATGGCAAAAGTTGGCTGTCAAGGATTTCGAACAGAAATCGAAATGAATGAAGGAGGTCTAGTTCAATTCGATTCCATTCTGGTGAGACTCGAGCGACAGAAAGAATTTCTATGCTCGTTTAGCACTTGTTTAATTAGAAAACTCACTTCGTAAGAAAAGTGATTTTATAGATTAGCTCTGCTTGTGCCTCCATATTTGTGCGCATAAAAGGACCTTACGAATGATACGATCCAAGGTATGATTTCAAAACTCTCTGTGCCCTCATCATGAAATATTTTGACAGAACATCTGAATATTTTTAACGATTGACCGTCACGGTTTGTTTGAAATCGATATCACTTTAAAATTAACTTCCTTTTCTTTCATCAATGTCAGATGAAGAATCAAAGTTTAAAACTAACTGAAAGACACCAATGAAGCAGTGACGTGTTTAGGCTTCCCGCTAGAAAATACATACTGCCAGGCAAGATTCTTTATTGTCTTATTTAAAACAAGTTTCATCTAAATATTTAAATATTATTTATAAAATGACGATACTTACTCCCATTCCTCATCTTGATAATTATTTACTCGTACTTTGTGTCTTGGCGTCACTGTTTCATCTAACTTGGATTTTATTATTTTTACTTACTTGACTCGCGTACCAAAGGATGTTATTACAGCTTCTGAAGATCTAGCAAACTGCTCAGCACTATCACCATGTGGCGCTCGATGAATTATTTCGCCATTACCTAAAGTAAATATATTTTAAAACAACATAGATCAAATATGCAAAGAAATATTTACCAATATAAACTCCCCAATGCTGGTAGAGTCCCTTGTGGCGATCAATTTCGATCATGTCACCTGGTTTGGCGTCTCGGAGCAATTCTTCAACTTGCTTGCTTCCGCCAGTACCCGTGAGTTGAGCCATTGCTACACAGTTAAAGGCTGATAGATTCTAACAAGTCTCTCTTATGATTGAGCTTTTTCAATAGTTGAATTGAAAAAATCCAGTGTCATGACTCATGGGTGTGGAGTGTGGGTGTGGGTGGGTGTAGGGCTGTACAGGTCACGCTCACGCTCATGAGCGTGATCGGTTTTTATTTAAAGAAAGCACGAGTGTCTCTGATCACTTTTTTCAACTTTATTGCTCGAAAATCGACATTGACGAATTTTGTGCCTGGAGTCCCTCTCAGGTATCATGAAAAACAATTTTTTTTTCACTAGTCAAAATCAGATGTAGTGGTAGGGTGTGGGTGTGGGTGTGGGTGTGGGTGGCTGGCTGTGGGTGTGGGTGTGGGTGTGGGTG